GCAAAATACCTGTAAAGTAAAATTCCTATTAAGGTAAAATTCAATATAATTAAAGCAATTATGATATAATTGTAGTTATTCAGATAACATAGATTACATATTTATTTTAGATATGAAGTTAAATAGAAAAATGGCACAATTTTAAAGTTGTTCAGATGGGAGCGTCCCGATTGACCACGGTACGATTGGACACAACCAACCGATGAAAAGAATTATCTAGTGAATTACTAGGTCGAACCAATTATTACAATCTGTGTCGAATCGTATCGTGGTCAATCGGGTCCCACCCTGTTCAGATATCAGAGAATTCTAAAAGAATTCAGTCGTATGTCACCAATTCTGAGTTCATTTTTAGATACAAAAAGAATTCTTCCCATACAGCACAGCAGCGTTGCAGCAACATTGCAGCATCATTATTTTGCAATATTGTGACATTGCAACAACGTTGCAAAATGTTGCTGCAATGCTCCTACAACATTGCAGCAACGGTAAAATGTCCGCTTGCGGCAATATAACAACGCAACTGTATAGCAACATTGCAATGCAATATGTATGTAATATTATTAATATGTTTTATTATACAAAATAAAATCCCAGATAACACCCTTACAGGAATATCATACTAATAAATACTAAAAAATTATTAGTGATTATATATTACCAGTAATTCAGTAATTTTTTCGTCAGTACTTAATTTCTGGTGAATACTGATAATAAAATCACTATTAAATATTAATAGTAATCAAATACTGAGAATTATTGTGCGAATGTGAAAAATGAGAAAATTATAATATTTAAAAAAATATATTTATTATTCCTAATTTTCTTATGTCTCATAAACTACTAAGGTATCGAAAATTGTCAATACACAACTCAAAACTTTCGTGAATCTTCCCTCGATAATTTCGATCCCAAGCGGTATATCACCGATCACCCATCTATGTCCTGACTCTGTTAAAGTGTTGCTTAACGATCGAGCGGCACGCGGCGATTCCCAATGACTCCAACGATATTTTTACGATTTGTGTTCATATAATTTATCCTTATAGTATTCACAGTATATTATAATATACCTAACAAACATCAAATAATAGTTATATAACTTTTACTTGGTATTCGTTGGATAATTTACTGATAGATATTGAAACAACGCAACAACATCGATATGCGATGAATATTGATGTAATGTAATGAACCAGTGATATAATTACTTTTAGATTTTTAACAGAATGTTATAATGATTAATCCAAATTAAAAAAGTAAAAAATCTAAGAAAATCCAAATTAAATGAATCGAATTACTAAATTTTGAAAGAAACTTTTATAAAATACTATTTAAAACAATAGTATTGTTTCATCAAATGACATGATTTCCTTGAATGAAATAAAAGTTTTTATTTTTATCATTTTACAAAAATGATATTTCGTTTAAGAATATAATATTTTAATGAAATAAAAACAAAATTAAACAAGTACGAATATCAAATCTAAAGAAAGTATTTTCTCCGAAAAAACAGTATAAGAAGCTTAAGAAATATATAATAAGACAAATTCTAGTATTAATGACTACCACTAACAAGTACTATTCTAAGTACTATTCTATAAACACTATTGATGTGAAATATTACTGAATTTGAAATATAAGTAACAAAAATAACTAGTAAATAAATAAAAAATATTATATTATATTCGTCATCCCTTATAGAAATATCATACTAAGAATCATTGATAATTACTTATTTTCAGTATTAAAAATACTGGATAATAAGTAATTATCAATGATTCTTAGTATGATATTTCTATAAGGGATATTTCTAAAATATTGCTAAAGTAATATTGCAAATTAATAATACTGCAATATCTCTGCAACATTGCACTACAATATGTAATCTTGCAACGCTGTAGCAATGTTGCTGCAAGCTTCTGTGCTGTATGGGTTTTCACTGAATTGAACTCTGATGAATTTTTTTTACATCTGAAAATGAACTCAAAATTGGTGACATACAACTGAATTCTTTTTGAGTTTTCTTTTTGAATTCTCTGTGCTATCTGGGTGGTTTTTAAGGGTGGTTGCAACATTACAAGCATCTCTTCTTCTTCATCTGAAGAATCAATTAATTCCCAATTTTGAACTATTTAACGCATCATGTTATTCACTGTCCTGTGACGTTCTTTTCCTCTCTGTCCGGACTCCTACACTGTTCAGTAGAGATGCCCGATTCTGAATCGATTCGATTCTTTCCCCAAAAATAGGCTTTTTCATGTTGTTTGCACTCTTCGCACTTTTCGTATTTAAAACTAGACAGAAGTATATTGGAATGTTTCGAAGAAGCAAAAACGAGACAACCAACTCAATTGTTTCTTCCAAGCGTCTGATTAGGCATTTATCTCTTTTTAAAAGCGAAAAGTATGAAACATGCAAGCAGCACGAACAACCCTTTTTCCCTAAATTTGTTAAGGTGCGATTTCACGCAGCGAATAAAAGCTAGCGTTTTACCCCACTCCATCAATTTTCACCGAAATGGCGAATGTAGCGAATAAATGCTCAAAGTTCGACACAGTCCAACTTTTAGCGAATAAAAGTTGGCGTTTACCACCACTCCATTAATTATCGCTAAAAAGACGAATGAAGCAGATAAACGCTCAAAGTTCGACACAGTTCAACTTCTCGCGATTTAACTGGATCAAGTGATTGTAATTAATTAAGTGAATAAAATAGGTCATATAAATCCGATGAAAAATTTTTCATGCATAATTATGTATGAAATTTGTCCATACATAATTATGTATAATCATATAACATTATATATCATTATACATAATTATGTATAACAATATGTATAATTACATATAAATCTATGCGTACCCAGATAGAAATGCGTGATTATCACGTTTCATCATAATGTGATATCATATTGTGATTTCACCTTGATACCTTTTTAAAGATCATTATGTGATTAACATGACATGAGCACAAGATGTATGCAAATGATATACGAATATGTCTAGTCCATCAAGTTTTGTTATTATAATATCATTAGATGAGATATTTTTCTGATCATCATTATATGAACGACATATGAGCAATATATGCGCACGCATTTGTATGAATTTTTGCAATCATCCACGTCAATATATGAGCTCGTGCTAAGCGCAACATGACATCATTTTTCTATCTGGGTAATTATATAAAATTATATATGAATTTATATATATAATTATACATGATTATATATATAAGTAGAATGTATAAACATGAATGGACAAATTTGATATATAATAATATATAATTATGTATAATTATATATAATTTTATATAATTGTATATAATTATGTATGAAAAATTTTTTATTGGGAAAACAGCAAATTATAATAAAAACAAGAAATTATGGCTGAAGGGACTGATAAATTGACAGCTCCGATAATACAAACGAAGTTAGTATATATTATATATGGTCAGCATATTTATATAAATTATAACCTATAGGCTACTCTTTGTATCTTATTTATTTATATTAAATTGATTAACTTTTTCGTCTTATGTATTTTTTTCGTTTTTAATAAATACATCGCTGCAATTGCAGCAGCTATATATCGTCTTCGAACTTCACCTATAATCGCCACTGTACATCTATAATATTTTATATATCTCGATTATAACACTCCATTTTTATACTTATTGCAGTTTATACAGGAGGTTAAACGTGGTAAATAGGAAATGGGCGACAGCGAACAACGTTATAACGCTACTTTGAACTATGCTGAAGTGGGGATAAAACGCTAGCTATTATTCGCTCCATGAAAAGGATACAGGTGATAGCGAACAG